AAGCATTTCTTTCTCTCTTTCTTTCTTTCTTTCTTTTTAAAGATTTTATTTATTTATTTGACAGAGAGAGAGAGAGAGACAGCGAGAGAGGGAACACAGCAGGGGGAGTGAGAAAGGAAGGAGCAGACTTCCTGCTGATCAGGGAGCCCAGTGCAGGGCTCGATCCCAGGAACCTGGGATCATGACCTGAGCCGAAGGCAGGCGCTTAATGACTGAGCCACCCAGGCGCCCCTCACAAATTTATTTTAAGTTTTGAGAACATTTTGGGCTTACAGAAGAGTTGTAAAAATGGTACAGAGAATTTTGATATTTCTTTCACCTGGCTTCCTCTTGTGTTAATGTCATACATAACTGTAGAACACTTATCAAACTAAGAAATTAACCTTGCTACAATAATTTTAACTAAAGTACAGAATTTATTAGGATTTCACCAGGTTTTTTTTTTTGTTTACTAATGCCCTTCTGTTCCAGTATCCAGTCTAGGATTGCACAGTGCATTTAATAGCCATGTTTCTGTAGTCTATTCCAGTCTGTGACAGTTCTTCAATCTTTCATGACCTTGGCACTTTTGAAGAGTACTGAAAAGTTATTTTGTGTAATGTTCCTCAGTTTTGGTTTGTCTGCTGTTTTCTCATAGTTAGATTAAGGTTTTGCATTTTTTGGGCAGGGTACCGCAGAAGTGAATGTGCCCTCCTCAGTGCATCATATCGGGGTGTACTTGATATTGATATGTTTTACTGGTGATGCTGACCTGGGTCACTTGGCCTTAGGTGGTGTTTGTCAGGATACTCCAATGGAAACAACATTTTTCCCTTTGTAATTACTAAATATTTTGAGGGAGATACTTTGAGACTATGCATATATCTGGTTTCTGTCATCAAGCATATATTTATTTTTTTATTGAGATATAATTCACATAACATAAACTTTACTATTTAAAGGGTACAGTTCAGTAGTTTTTAGTATATATACAAGATTGTACAATCATCACCACTATCCAGTTTCAGAACATTTCTTTCACTATGAAAAGAAATCTGTACCCATTAGTAGTGGCTACCAACTCCTCCACCTCCCTAACCCAGCCCTGGAAACCACTAATCTACTTTCTCTATAGATTTGCCTATTCTGGACATTTCATACAAATGAAATCATATAATATGTAGCTTCTTGCATCTGGCTTCTTTGACTTAGCATAATGTTTTCAGGGTTCATTCGTGTTGTGTAGTATGTATAGGTACTTGATTCCCTTTTATGGGTGAATAATATTCCACTGTATGGATATATACCATATTTTGTTTATCCATTCATCAGATGAACATTTGGGTTGTTCCCACTTTTTGCTATTATGAATAGTGCTGCCACAAGCTTTTGTTTATGAGTTTTTGCTGAACAAATGTTTTCCATTCTTTTGGGTATATACCTAGGAGTGAAATTGCTGGGTCATATGGTCAACTGTGTTTAACTTATTGAAAAACTGTCAAATTGTTTACCAGACTGGCTGCACGATTTTTACATACCAGCAGCAATGCATGAAGAGTCTACTTTCTTTACACCCTTGTCAATACTTGTTATTTATCTTTCCTAAAAATTAAAAAAAAATTGACTGTAAAATACACAATATAAAATTTAGCACCTTAACCATTTTTAAAGGTAGAATGTAGTACTTTATGTTGTTTATTTATGTTGTTGTGCAGTCTCCAGAAATCCTTTCATCTTGAAAAACTGAAACACTATTCCATTGAATAACTCCCCATTTCCATCCTACCGCCATCCCCTGGCAACTACCATTCTACTTGTGTCTCTTTGAATTTGACTAGTATAGGTACCTTATAAAAGTGGATTCATGGTATTTGTGTTTTTGTGAGTGGCTTATTTCATGTAACATAATGTTTTAATTATTCATCTTTTTTTTAATTAAAAAAATTTTTTTTGGAGGGGCTAGGGGCAGAGAGAGAGGGAGAAAGAGAATCTTAAGCAGGTTCCATGCCCAACATAGAGCCAGACCCGGGCTCAATCTCACAACCCTAAGAGTCTGAGCTGAAATCAAGAGTCAGACGCTTGGGCGCCTGGGTGGCTCAGTTGGTTAAGCGACTGCATTCAGCTTATGTCATGATCCTGGAGTCCCGGGATCTAGTCTCGCATCAGGCTCCCTCCTCGGCAGGGAGTCTGCTTCACCCTCTCACCCTTCCCCCCTCATGCTCTCTTTTTCTTCATTCTCTCTCTCTCAAATAAATAAATAAAAATCTTAAAAAAAAAAAGACGCTTAACCCCCTGAGTCACCCAGGTACCCCCCACCCCCAATTTTTTTTTTTTATTAAGTAAGTTCTAGGGCCAATGAGGGGCTTGAACTCACAACCCTGATATCAAGAGCTGCATGTTCTACCAGTAGAGTCAGCCAGGTGCTCCTTGTCTTTTTGATTATAGCCATTCTAGTGGATGTGATGTAGTGTCTCATTGTGGTTTTGGTTTGCATTTTTCTAATTATCAGTAATGTTGAGTGTTTTTATTTTTTTAAAGATTTTATTTATTTATTTGACAGAGACACAGCTAGAGAAGGGAACACAAGCAGGGGTAGCGGGAGAGGGAGAAACAGGCTTCCCGCAGAGCAGGGAGCCCGATGCGGGGCTCAAACCCAGGACCCTGGGATCATGACCTGAGCCAAAGGCAGACACTTAACGACTGAGCCACCCAGGCGCCCCTTGTTGAGTGTTTTTACATGAACTTATTGGCCATTTGTGCTTTGGAGAAATAGCTTTTCGAGCCCTTTGCCATTTGAAAAATTAAATTGTCATTTTGTTTTGAATTGTAAGAGTTCTTTATATATCCTGGACACTAGACCCTTATTAGATATATCACTTGCAAGTATTTTCTCCTGTTTTTTTGTACTTTATTTTCATGTTCTTGATAATGTCCTTTGACATACAAAAGTTATTGATTTTATTTTATTTTTTTAAGATTTTATTTATTTGAGAGAGCACATGAGAGAGCAAGAGAGAGAGCACAAGTGGAGGGAGAGGCAGAGGAAGAGGGAGAAGCAGACTCCCCACTGAGTAGGGAGCCCAATGTGGGGCTCGATCCCAATACCCTGGGATCATGACTGGAGCTGAAGGTGGACGCTTTACCAACTGAGCCACTCAGGCGCCCCAAAAGTTGTTAATTTAAATTTAATTTTTTTTTAGAGGGAGAGAAAGTGCACACATGTGAGTGGGGGAGGGGGAGTGGCAGAGGGAGAGAGAGAATCTCAAGCAGAGTCCATGCTGAGCACAGAGCTGGATGCAGGGCTTGATCTTTCATAACTGAGATCATAACCTGACCCAAAATCAAGGGTCAGATGCTCAACTGACAGAGCTCTGCTATTATGAATGGTGTTGTTTTCTTAAAATCATTTTCTGATTGTTCATTGTTAGTGTATAGACATATAACTGATCTTTGTATATTGATCTTGTATCTTGCAACTTTGCTGAGGTTGCTTATTAGTTTTTTGTGTGAATTCTTAAGCATTTTCTATATATTAGTTCATGTTTTGGCAATAAAGATAGTTTTATTTCTTTCTTTTCAATCTGGATGTTTTTTAATATTATTTTTTCCCAATCGTCCTGTCCTAATTGTCTTAGAATCTCCAGTACAGTGTTGAATAGAAGTAGCAAAAGTAGACATATTTTCTTGTTCCTGAGCTTTAGGGGAAAAGCTTTCAGTCTTTCACCATTAAGTATGATGTTAGCTGTGAGAAACATCTATTTTCAAAAAATCTTTATCTCTTAAGTAATTATAGATGCATAACAATTTGCAGAAATAGTACAGAGAGGTATCATGTAGCCTTCACCCAGTTTTTCCCAGTGGGTACATCTTATATAACTATATCACAGTATCAAAATGGGGAAATTCACATCATACAAGGTATGTGTATAATTCTGTATCATTACAATCAAGATACAGAACTATTCCATCTCCACAAAAATTTCCCTTGGGCTCTTTGTTTTTTTAAATTTATTTTAAGTAGGGTCCATTGTGGGGTTTGAACTCACCACCTTGAAATCAAGAGTTGCATGCTCTAGGGACTGAGCCATCCAGGCACCCCAGGCTATTTCTTTCTATTAGGCCTGTAGCCCTCCGTCTCACCCTCCTTAGCCCCTGGCAACTGCTAATTTTTTTTTTTTGTTTTTTTTGTCTCTACAGTTTTGTCATTTTGAGAATGTTACGTAAATGGATTCATATAGTTTGTGAATTTTTGGCATCAAGCATGTTTTTAATTCAAGTTCTTTGATTTTCTTTTTAAACATATCACCCTTTGTTTTATGGATACAGTAACTTCTTAAGTGTTTCTGAAGATAGTGAAGTTTTTTAAAAAATGTTTATTTCCTACATATGTTTATTTTGAGAGCCCACTTTTTCTGATGTTTGCTTGGTCTTCCTGTTAAATGTTGCAAGTTTTTGATAGGTGGGTGATGGATAAGAATAGTTTGAATTAAACATACCACTTAAAGATACCGATTATTTTTCTTAATTTTCTTAATTGTGTCTGTGGTAATTAGAATCATTTAAATTTGTTTCTTTGATTTTGAAATAGAATCTTATGAAATCCTTGATGATGATGGTGGTGATGTTTTTCCCTGAAAAGCAGTTGTAAAGGCAGTGGCACAATAAACTTTTACTTTTGCTGCCACTATTATTTTGTGTGTGTGAGGAAAATTTTTATTTTGGTCAAAGTAATACATGTACATCCACATTTAAGTCATATAATTCACACACACACACGTGTATATATATATACACACACACACACACAAAGGTAATTCCATATGTACATACATATGTACTCAGGAGCAAATCAAAACATCCAGCAGTTTTCTGCCACATACTTCTCTGTGATTGCTGCTGCCCAGTAGACTAATTATACTTTCAACCTTTTTGGCTTTTATCCCTTCCATATTATCTATTGATTTAATATGGAAGATGAAGACTTGTTTCATGCTACACCTTATACACATGTGCCCACCCACTCCTTTCCCTTCTCACATCTTTACTAGGTATAGCCCAAGCTCTAGTAGAGTTGTAACAAAGAATTTTTATGGCTTCATATATAAAAATATATATATATTTTTTCCCTCTGTGAAACATTTCCTGAGCACCTACATCTTCCTATTTCATTCTGGACTGTTTAACCCTTTCTTGGCCTTCCTTTTACCATTTTCCTTTGAATTTTTTTGATCTTTTATCATTCCTATGCTGGAACTTCTGTACCCTACGTACGGTCTTGGAACTTTTTTTTTAGTTTATTCTCTGATTTTGGTGAAGTGCAGCTTAGAGCTTCCTGAGAAAAGGTGTAGGAGAGGTAGATTATGTGTCTGACAAAGTCTTTATGCTGTATTTGATTGATGGCTTAATTGGATTTAGAATTGTAAGTTGAAAATAATTTTTCTTTAAAATTTTAAATATACTCTTTTTTTTAAAGATTTTATTTATTTATTTGACAGAGAGAGAAACAGTGAGAGAGGGAACACAAGCAGGGGGAGTGGGAGAGGGAGAAGCAGGCTTCCTACTGAGCAGGGAGCCTGATGCGGGGCTCGATCCCAGGACCCTAGGATCATGACCTGAGCTGAAGGCAGATGCTTAATGACTGAGCCACCCAGGCGCCCCTAAATATACTCTTTCATTGTCTTCCAGCTCCCCTCAGTATTGAGAAATGTCATTCTGATTCTTGCTTCTTTGTGATCTTTTTTCCTTATTGGCAGACTTTTTTTAACCTCACTTATCTCAGGTGTTAAGAAATTTTGTGATGTGTGTAAGCTTTGGTCTTTTTTCATTTGTTGTGCTGCATACTCATTGGGCCCTTTTAATCTGGAAACTCATGTCTTCTAAGTTTCAAGAAACTTTCTTATATTATTTCTCTCATAACTTTGTCTTCCATTTTTTCTGCTCCTCTTTTTACCCCTATAACTATTATTTGGATATTGGACCTCCAAGCTTGATTCTCTGGTTTTATTGTCTTTTCTGCCTGTGCCTTTATCTTTTTGTTGTTGTTCTTTTATCTAAATTTCCTTAACTCTTTGAATGAATTTAAAATTTTCTGTCACGCATTTCTTTCTCTTTTGTTTGATAAAAAGATAACTGTGAGTAATGGTGAATTAATGATGAGTAGGAAATAATTTGCTATTAGGTTACACTACTAGACTTCTGATCTGTCACTTGTTATTTAATTGGGAAGTCATGTAGATGCCTTGTGGTTATCCCAGATTCAAACTCTTATACTCAGTATTCAGTGCACATCCAATGTGTGCCATTTGGTAAGATAGCATGTAATGAATAAAGCAGGTGCAATTTGAAGGAAAGTATACATTTGAGAATTCAACACCTAGTTTTATGAGGTGCTTTTGCTGTGGATCATGCAAAGTAACAGAATTTTTTTGGTGTAATTTCATAGGATGAATTTTCAGGATTGTCATCGTACGAAAGGAAGAGACTGAAGAACATATCAGAAAATGCAAACTTTTTTGCTTCTCTTCAGTTGTCTGAGGTTTGTGTGGAATTTCTAATTAAGAGCAAGATGCCATTCCTCTTGCCTGTAGGTCAATAAAATACTCATAGTATCAGGTTTCAAACATCAGATAAGGGAGGGTAAAATTGGACTGAGTTTTGCATTTTGTAGGAAGAGTTACCAAATATTTTATTGATTCTAAGACATTTTTTTCATTTTAATGTTTTTGAAATTGACATCTTGAAACTATAACTGGCAGCTTTTCCTCCCTGTTGTTGGTGCATAAGATAATGGTGTCTTATGAATGGTTGTCTTGGATTCTGAGGAACACAGTATGTTCCAAGTGGTTGCTTTACCTGTAAAGGGTAAAGGAGGAGTAGGAGGAATGGGTTGAGGGAAGTGTGGTAGAGGAGTGAGAGGACAAGCTTTTTTTTTTTAATCCTTTTTTCCCCTAAGATTTATTTATTTATTTATTAGAGAGGGAGAGAGAGAGAGAGAGAGAGAGCACGAGTTGGGGTGGGGAAAGGGACAAAGGGAGAGGAACAAGCAGACTTCCTGCTGAGCAGGGAACTAGACACAGGGACCCTGGGATCATGACCTGAACTGAAGGCAGACGCTTAACTGACTGAGCCAACCAGGTGCCCCTCTTTTTTTGAAAAATCTTAGAGAATAGGTGGAAATATGCTTTATATAGTGAGCTTTAAGGATAAATGGCCAGGGGTGCCTGGGTGGCTCAGTTGGGATCGAACCCTTCGTCAGGCTCCCTGCTCAGCAGAGAGCCTGTTTCTTCCTCTGCCTGCCAGTGCCCCTTGCTTGCACTCTCTCTATCAAATAAATAAATAAAATCTTTCAATAATAATAAATTCAAAATCTTAAAAAAAAAGGATAAATGGCCAGATGTATGCTAGTGTTTTATAATCCTTATAACTAAATGTGTAATTTACATTGTGTCTTTACACTGTGGGTAAAACTTCTGTGTATGAGATAGCCCTTCAGGAGGGTGTGTGATATTTTCTTTCAAACTGTAACAAGCCCTTGGGTTTATTAAAAAATTGCTTGGTTTCTTTGATTACACATTCCCAAATATTCAGCATGTGTTTGCATCTTGAGGGAATGGAGGGTGACAATATAAGGGATTATATTGTTAAGTCATTAAAATTTGAAAATTCATCAGAAATTTAGACAAAGTATCTCTGATTTTGATTTTAGTTAACAGAAATTATGATTTGATTTATAGAAGTGTAATATAACTTTTCTGGAGAATATCAAAGTAGGATTGCCTGTAGTAGAAGTTAAACCTTTTAATTTATAATAGTATATTTGATTAAATGTTTAATGTTCAATCATGTAAACTCGTTAGCAACCTGGTCCAAGGTATCAGAATGTCAGTACTTTCTGATACCTTGTCAGAATGTCAGTACAATGTGGGGCTTGAACTCATGACCCTGAGGTCAAGACCTGAGCCCAGATCAAGTCTGATGCTTAACCAACTGAGCCACCCAGGTGCCCCAGTCCTTTAGATAGTATTATTTACTTGCTTTTATTATTGATGGTTTATTTGTCTCTTGTCTGTTACCAAGAGCAGGTATCATATTTTAAGGATCTTTATTTCCTATATAGATCTTAGTTTAGTGTCGATAAAGCAGCATACTTAAAATTTTATAAGGTAGTATCTTTACATGTATGTTTTGTGTATTTTGCAGTCAGCTGCAAGGTTCCGTGAAATGATAAAGAAGAGGCAGCCTCCTGAATCCAAAAGGTAAAAGATTTGAATGCAATGCCTACACCATGATATATTGTTGAACTCAACTTTATAATATGCAAAATGGTTACCATGGTAAATAAGAAACTAATCTTAAAACTGTTGTTTCACATCTTCACGAACATTTGGTGTCATCAGTGTTCTGGATTGTGGCCATTCTAATAAGTGTGTATTGGTATCTCATTGTTCTTTTAATTTCTGTTTCTCTAATAACATGATGTAGAGCATCTTTTCATATGCTTATTGCTGTCTGTATATTACTTTGGTGAACTATCTGTTAAGGTCTTTGGCCCATTTTTAAATTAAGTTGTTTGATTTTTATTGTTGAGTTTTAAGAGTTCCTTGTATTTTTTGGATAACAGTCCTTTATCAGATGTGTCTTGTACAGATATTTTCTCCCAGTCTGTGGCTTGTCTTCTCATTCTCTTGGTAGTGTCTTTTGCAGACCAGAAGTTTTTTAATCTTAATGAAGTTTACTTCATCACTTTTTTCTTTAACCGATTGTGTTTTTGGTATTTTAATTAAAAACCATTGCTATACCCAAGGTCACCTAGGTTTTCTTTTATTGTGTTCTACAAGTTTTATAGTTCTGCATTTTACATTAGATATGTGATCTTTTTTGAGTTAATTTTGTGATGGGTTAGAGGCTGTGTCTAGATTGATTTTTTTTTCTTTTGGATGTGGTTATCCATTTGTTGAAAAGATTATTTTTGCTTCATTATCTTGCCTTTGCTCTTTTGTCTAAGATCAGCTGGCTCTCTGTTCTGTACCATTGATTTGTGTATTCTTTCATCAATACAATACTGTCTTTAAAAACAACTACAGCTTTTTAAAAAAATTTTTTATTGTTATGTTAATCACCATACATTACATCATTAGTTTTTTTTTTTAAATGTTTT